CCAAGTTGGTGAATTTAAATAATTTAAATAAAAGCATTGACGAAAAGTGACATGTTTTTCGGGAATATAATTAATAAGAACTGCGATGTTTCGCAAATAGCTTTGAAGACTTATTCAATTATGCAAATTAGGCCGACAATTAAGTAAATTGAAGATTATCAAACTTATAAGGTTTCTGTTGTGCAGTTGATATACTTAGGAATGTAGTTACAATAATGTGTCAGTGAGTTGTGGCCTCTGTGCGTTGCAGTGGGTGCAAACACAACTCAGTTCACGCTGCTAAAATCGGCTGAGACCGAGATTAACAAGTAAACTAAGACCTTAATGTTACTTAACGGTTGTCTCAAATCGACGTTAAGCCGCCTTGTCACACTCATCTTCAATTGGTCTTTATCCCATACACATCATTGTCATGTTGTCGCCTGTGTAAAATTAGTCACGATCGATCACCGAATTTAGCGGAAATTCCGGTTTGTTCATTAACATCAATAGGTGGCAGGCAGAGAAGGTAGTTTCGATAATATCGTTGCGCCCTTTCTTGCAACTTGAATGAATAAAATATGCCGAGCTTCACCGTTCAGATACTATGAAACATTCAGATTTGGGGATTTCCCACCAAAATCAACATGAAGGCAGACGACATTTTACAAGCTAGATTCCGTCACGGATGAAGGGATGTAAACACACACGCTGAGAATCCGTAAGCTATTTCTGACATGTATTTTATTACTCAAAACGTGAAAAATTCAGAAAACTGTTAAATTCGTAATGTCGGTTACAGTTACCGGCTTTTGTTTTCCCGCGGCTACACATTCGATCCAGTGTAAAACTATCAGATTATAATACGCGTATCTATGGTAACGATTACATTGGCTGATTTCCTGCTACAAATACAAAGAAACAGCTGGTGTCGTGAAAAACAATATAAAACATACTTTGAATGAACAAAAATATCTTTAACATAATCGTTATGAACTGGCGTAATAGTATAATATAAGCTTTGTGCAAGGCATCCATTCCGGTCCAAATAAGGACAAACGTCCATTGAGGGAACGGGAGAATATAAAAAGTTGTATGTTACCCACTTGAACAAAAATTGAATATCATTAAAAATAGCCTGACATCTAGAAACATCTCATTAAAATCAGCACTAGAAATAGCTTGGCATATAGTTGCATCTTATTAGCATATCATTAACATTCATAACACAATATCGTTACTAGAAACGGCTTGGATAAATCTTATTAGTACATCATACAAATACTTTGTAATTTTAAGGTCAACTGAACTCAGAAATATAGAAAGTAAAAGTCGTTGACAAATAAACTAAATACAAGTTAAAACAAAGAATGTTTACACCTGTAATTTTCGAATAAAATATTCACCTTGAAAATAAGTTTTATAACAATTAATATGCATAGCGATTGTACCTGCTTGTAAGCTGATAATTGGTATCTGGTGCACGTGATATCTTTTTCGATTACGTCATCAAGTTTGAAGGCTCGTTCGCAACCAATTCATAAAGAGCATGGTCATTGCGGTAAGCCCGGACTACTAAAAAATCGGTATTCAAGTTCAAACATTTACTAATTTATTTATTTGGTAGGCATATTTTGGCGACATAACTAACTGTGAACGAGGATGAACCACAAAGAAGGGTTTGATGAGGTACTCAGAATTAATTCACAAACGACTCTGAAAGGCGGAACTGGGAGATTGGTTATATCCTGGTTGTTTGTACACATATTAGAAAATAATGTTTGAGTTATACTATAAAACAAGTCATTATAAATGTGTTTAAGGTATAGATGCAGATTCGTGGGCACATGGAGTGATTTCTTTTTCTTACCCAGACTGTCTCGACTATTATAGTTTGGCAACTCAGTGAATAGTGGAACTCAAAAAAACGGTTTTAAAATATAGAAAACATGCACAAACATTCTCTCCTTTGAATGCTTAGTAAGATTTAGCAAGGCTGTACAAAAATAATAAAAAATTGATGAGCAAAAAGTGATGACAGAATCGACATAACAACAACGATATGGAAATATGAAATAAACACAATAAAACGTGACGCGGTTGTGTGTTTTGCTGTTCGTAGTGAAATTTGATCGATTTCATAGACCGTACTCAGTCATTTCGCGAAGGTGATTTTCACTGGTTTCGGAGATTTAACCTCTTTCACCCTGACACCAACCACCCTTTCATACACGGACTATCAAACAAATTGTAATTTCAAAAGTTGTAGGGGGTAATCCTCCAGAAGTTGCAGAAGCTAAATATTTGTGCAACTGTCGACTTATATCTCGTGACTTAATAAATCTCAGAACATTCATTTGCTTGCTAGATTGGCCTCAAATTCAGCGACAAATATTTAAAATAATTCCATGATTCAGTGTTCACATTCTTCTTTGTTCGGGACTTCTTCCGTCTTGTGCGTGATGTAATAGTCGTTTTGAATGAAATACGCAACTCCCCATTCCTTTTGCCAACTGGTGAGGGCGTCACGTGTGTTCACTAATTCCACCTGTAAATGTTTCCCTGAAAAATGATCAAGTGAAAGGTTGTTTGAAAACAGCGCCTTCTACGGTTACTATTATTTTTTTTAATTACATGGTTCGATCGTGCGAACTATAGAAGACTGTAAGGTTCAAGATGCTTACCAAGTAGGGTCTGTAGTTCCTCCGGAGGGAATGTGTGTGGTGGGCCAGCGAAGTGCTCGTGGTCAACTTGGAACAAATCTAATAAGCATCGACCATCTTTTTTTAACAATGGAAAAAACACGTCGGCATACCTAAAAACATATGAATATAGTCACGATATTTACTGGGCTGCATGTGTCATTTGTAGTAACCCGTGACGTTCCAAATCTTGTATTATTGCACTTGTGTTATTAAACGAAAAACTATAAAATGGTCAACGGAGGGCGATACACTTACTTTTTCCTGTCTTCTGGGTGAATGGCCGCCAACGAGCCTCGATCCCACACCGCATCAAAAGTACCAATTATTTCTGGGGTAATTAGGAAAAAGTCACAGCAATATATAGTAACATCTAAGTTTTTAGCCTGGTGAGAAAACAAAAGTGAGTGGTGAATATAACATTATTACAGCCATCGTCAAAGGAAGTATATTCATGTTATCTCGCGGTGTTTTCGTTCTTTGGGTGTTGGTGTCACGTGACGTGTTTATCCGACTACGTCATCAAGTCCGCCATTTTGTTCATTCTGTACGTGACTATTCGTGTTATAATCACTAAAATAGTCCCTCAAAATTTTGATTTGAACCAACGCAACATTGATGAACAAATTGCAATCATTTTGTTGGAAAAATATGGGTTTACATGCACACAGTGACACAGTGTGTGGTGCTACGCAGTCTTCTCACGCTATACAATTATCGCCTGCTGCGCTTTTATTCAACGCCTTCAGTTTGTAGGAAAATAAAAGAACACAAATTCTGATAAAAAAAGACGAAATAATAAAGGTAGCACGACCAACAAAAGATCGTTTAAAAGAACAAAATACGGAAACGGAAGTATAGATTTTTGGTATACCGCCCACAGTTCGGAAACTAAATGAACTCTTTGACCAACCAGATCGCCTGGAAAACGAAATGCCCGGATGGATAAACCATTAGGGTATTTTCTGGGTCGCCAAAAAATACCATGATTTGTGACCTTGTTGAATCGGGGCATATTTGCCCAATATCGCCATTAATTAGTTATGATAGAATTTCATTTAATTGGATTTACATTGTTCCTTTTTTTCAATTAGAAAACTTATGTTCAAATGATGTGAGCAGTTTCAGAACACGTGACTTTAAGTAGGTCTGATTTCACGTGCGAATAATTATGTTTCATACATAACCTTTAGAATTCAAACATCCTTGTAATTTCTGATGAACTCACGAATTAATATAAATCCACCCAAGGAAGGTCGCCAGTTCAATAACATTTCTCAGCCTTGGAACAACTTACATGTGACGGACATGTAATTTATTTATACTGCATAACGAGAATGTT